GAACTCAGGCAAATGAGTGGTGAAGGAAGGGGGTTTGAACAGCAGATAAAGAAGTCACCCTCAGCCCACCCCCGAGCACCAGACAACAATGTATTGGCCCCGCAGCTTCTAAATCTTCTCCCCAGAGTATGGTAGCTACTACAGAGTAAAGAACGGCAGTGGAAGGGCTATTTAGGTCTAAATTTGTCACCAACAAAAATTGCTGTGACTAAACTACTGATTATGTCATTTTGCTATTACTCAGGGCAAAAAAGCCCTAAAACCAGGAAGAGTCACTTTTTTTTTTCCAAAATAAACTTTTAATGTATTTAAACAAAGTCATAGCCACAATCACATATTGAATGTTTATTAACCAAATCTTTTTAAAAAATCTTCTATTTATCATTTATATTATCCTTCAATACTCAGGCAGAACTAATAAAGACATGAAATCCTAAAAAGATGATATTAAAACAAAAAATTAAAACTTATTTTAAATAAGTTCAGAGGCAGGGAAGTCTGTGAATAAATATGTCACATTTAGTTGATCATTAGACAGAGTGCTAAAAATATTATCTCCTCACCCTAACACAATAATGGAAAGAAATAAAATTTTCTTGAACCTTTTAACCCTAGCCAAGATCTGACACAGAATGCAAAGTTAAGGGCAATTTCATGTTTTTTTCCTAGTTTATAAAGCTGCCAACAAACATCAAAAGTTTGTATCTAATTTCTTACTTATATTTTTTAAGACCAAAATGTCAGAACCCCAATGGCAGATCAAGGGCACAGAGTCAAGGGAACAGGATGTCCTGGGTACAAGCAATAAGTGGTGTATTGTCTCAGACGCTTAAAGACAATATGCAAGCCAGCTAAAAGTAAATCTATTCTTATTCCACTGTGTGCTGGCAGTAGTGCACAACACCAGTGATAGAGTGCTCCTCCTTCCGGAGAGAACCATTCCTGATCTCATCACCATCGTCTTCTGACTAGATGCATCTCGTGACTATAAAGGCCATCATTTACAGGAAAAGGAACTCCAACATTTTTTTTAAAAAAACATTTACCCATATTATCTCTTCCTCAGAATAATCAATTGCTTTAATAAAGACATGAAATCTCATTGAAAGCAAACAAATAAAATGTAAAAATAAAGTGTAAAAATGTCTTATAGTCATCCAGTGTGTTCACTGTCATTCCCTATTGTAGTTCAGACTTGGGTATCATGTTGTAAGCAAGACTAAAACAGAAATGCAACAGGAATATCCATAATTTAAGGGAAAACCCTTTATAATATAATTGTATACATTCAGTATGTTAAACTGTTGTTTTTTTAATATATTATTCAAAATATCACCAGAAGCTTGGTGCAGTGGCACATGCCTGTAATCTCAGCTGCTCTGGAAGCTGAGGCAGGAGGATCGCAAATTCAAAGTCAGCCTCAGCAAAAGCAAGGTACTAAGCAACTCAGTTAGACCCTGTCGAGGATATCATGCAGTGGTTGAGGGTCCCTGAGTTCAATCCCAGGTACAAAAAAAAAAAATCACCAGAAATTTAATTTCATTAGTAAAAATAACTTCTGATGGATTTCAAATCCCAGGTACAAAAAAAAAATCACCAGAAATTTAATTTCATTAGTAAAAATAACTTCTGATGGATTTCAATCACCAAGATCAAAAGCTATGATAAACTCCATGGTAATTTTGTTGAAATCCACTAATGTAAGTGCTGAACATTTTGAAAGTGACTCTTATATAGTTAATGCATTCATTGTAATATGCAGAAACCCACAGCCTTGCAGTTCCAATGTGAAAAGTGTTAGAAAGATGTCACATCCCAGGAGTGCCATCAGGGCACAAAGGAGAAGGCAGATGAAAGGAGCACATTGAAGAGTCAGTGCATTGGCAATCAGACTCTTCAAAAGGCACAAATTTTGCAATGCTTCTTACATAAACATGTATATAGCATGTAGTATGTTTACATGTCTGAAGTCAGGGGTTACATGTGAGCATTTATGGCCACAGCTCACCTCAGGGGAAACATACACAAAACTTGAGATAAGGACTAGTTTGTGGATAGTGCCCACTATTTTTTGTTGTTGTTGAAGAATAGAAATCGAACAGAAGGAAATAGAACATGGAACAAATGTTTTCTAATCCTGGGTGCCAGGTCAGCCTTCTTTGTACACACACAGACACAAACACACACAATGAATTTACTTTGAGCTTCATTCCATACAGTCATTCTCTCACTTGAACTATTTAAGTAATATCTGCCAGTGGATTAGCACTAAAGAGAGAGGGCAAATAGACAAAGTCCTATAAAAATAGAAAACCCAGGCCTAGACCATGAATCCCAATATCTGAGAACATCTAAATGCTCACGATGACTCTGATGCCCTGTGGTGAACAGCCTCAACTAGTATTTATTTTGTAAAATATCCTTTTAAAAAAGAGCTTCAATTAATATAAAGTGACAAACATAAAATATCCAAGATCATTTAAAACAAGTTGACTTCCTTGCTGAGATGAAGAGATTGTGGCTCTGGACTGGTTATTCTCAAGGTACATGGCCAAGGACAAGTTCAGATTTTGCTTGATTGTTTTGTTGTTTCAAATTTTTTCCGATCTGATAATTTTGTTAAATACAATAAAAATGAATTAAAATAAAATGAAATTTCAGAAGCACACAAAATGCAAGCCAATTTTTTTTATTTGACATAAAATTTGCCAACATAAAATTACTCTGTAAAATTGTTCCAAAAGATGCTGAAAGGTCAGTCTCAATATCTGTGGTTTGTACGCCAGAGGGAAGTAGAAAAGAGTACGTATTAGGTAGCCATCCTCCATGCCTGGGCAGGTAGCCCTACTGTGCACGATCCACGGGGTTTTGAGCAAAGAGGAATAAATATAGGTGGAATTTACTTCATGGAGGTAGATTCACAACTAGATTGGCTCTGCATCAAAAGCGGATTGATTTATGAATCAGTGTAAGTCTAAACACAGGTAGTAAGAAAGCTTAATTTTAATTGCGCAGTAATAAAATAGACGAGTTCCTGGCGTATATGAAGCACTTAGCAAAAATGTGCTGCGAGGGTGAGGGGAAATGCAGGAGCTGACAGTTGCAGAATCTGCTGAGAAGCACAGGGAGGGGTCATAAGGCCCCTAGAAAAAGGAGGGACCAGGATGCACGATACACACCTGGGGAAGGTGACTCGACCCCCCCGCAAAGACACAGGTGCCAGCAGGTTAAAAAAGACGAAGCACAAGATTTGAATGTTTAGGAACTAACTAAATGAAATAAGAAAAAAAAAAACTGTAGATCCATGATCTCCAGAAAACAGTAAACTGCACACTAATTCAAAAAAAAAAAAAAAAAAAAGATTTAAGGCCCTTTGTTGATGCCAAGCTGAACAGCAAGATGAAGCGCCCCAGTCTTAAATTTCATTAGTAAAGGCACCATGCCCAGAACAATGATAACAAAAAAAAGTGATGACCCAGAACACCCAGGTCAGCTTGTACCATTTTGCAAGAGGTTTTGATAGATTAGAAAATATGTAGGCAAACATTATAGTATCAAAATATCCAAGACTGGATGAGATCATTTATCATTCTACAAGGAGATGATTGTGTTTCCTGTGCTACAGTGACTCAAGGGGGACAGTGGCTATGAGAATATCTGTTGGTCATTCTAATGAAACAAATCAATAGATAATGAACCATAATAATGATACCTCTTACGATCTATAAAGTACTTACAGGAAGGGATGATGGCATGTGCTGCCAGATCAAGTCTCAGGATGGAGACACTTTCATCTTCCAAGACCAGAGCTTGCCTCAGGTTAACAGCTGAGTTCCTCTTCAGCAATTGCTGTCACCCCTAGAAGTCATCTTACTCAAGTTACCCAAGATGTGTGGTCCTCCCCAAGGAACTACCACATGAGATGGGCATTTCTAGTAAGATAGCAAAGACCCAGAAATTTTGTCTCAATTCACAAAACTTTGGGGTCCCAGAATCCCTTACGCCTCTGTTGCATCTATATCCCAGCTCAGCTGCTCCTTCTGCGATGCCTGACCTCACACTCCTTCTATATGTCACTCTTGAGAGCATCCCTCGGGAAATCTCTACCTCAGAATCTTCTTCCCAACTTATGTTAGTTACTCTGTGTTAAGAACTTGCTGACCTCTTTATAAGTATCATCTTCTCTATGTAAGTATGTCAATGAGTAGATGTTTCAACACACAAATATTATTATGTCCATCTGAGAAATAAGGAGAATGAGAGTCAATCGGGGAGGGAAAAAAAATGTGAGAGTAGAGATTCAAACTTGAGACAACTCTAACCAAAGCTAGCACTCTCTGCCCTGATGGGGCACCTGCCAGCTCAGTCTCCAGATCTCCTTCAGCATCCTTCTGAAATCTGTCACACACAAAAAAAAACAATTATGGGTCCATAGAGATTTTTTGTGTGTATTAAAAATATCAAATTTTCAAATTAACAAAAGCCAAGAACCATTCATTGACAG